TACAGTATGTGTTCGCCATTTTCATTTTATAGTTTCCTGTGTATCCGTCAGTAATTGAAGAGGAATACAGTTGTTTAGTGTAAGAGCTTATGGTATGCGGTGCCTGGTATGGTTTTGAAAATCATGATTGATGATAGAGGTGTCCCAGATAGGATTATATTGTTATTTCACAGATAAACGTTTGCCTGTACTGGGTTTCTTCAATGTTGATGTTATTTATACTTTTATTTATTTTTATTTTTTTTTCATTTCCTATCAGGTATGTGAGAGTATAAGTATGTTTTAAGCTCTCATATTGTAATGTTAAGTGACTGGAGAATGCCAAGGGAGAACACTGTATTACTTTTACAATTATGGAGTTACTACCTTTTCCAGCAAACAGACACGCACACACGCACACTCGCTCACAAATAAATATATGTATATATATATGTATATACTGTGAGTGTGTATATATATATATATATATATATATATATATATATATATATATATATATATATATATATATATATATATATATATATATATAAATCTATAAATTTTAAGATGTAAATGATTTCATTGATAATTTTGCCTGGGCATGCTTTATAATATTTCTTACATTTTCAGACAAGCTATATGCTCGTTTGTCAACCCTCGAGAATGATCTAACTATGCTGACATCGCAACGTGCAGCTCAAGAGGCTGAAATTGCAAATATTGAGAATCTGGCTCTAAAACAGAGATTTGTGACCAAGTTAGCTGACATAGAAACGCTGATTAGAGAGAAGGAATACGAGGTGAGTTTTAATGGAATTATGTGCCTTGTTATGCCGATAGTAATGTCAGTATCTGTTTAAGTGGAATATGGTTAAGAGTGACCTGTGTAATAGTCTCTTGGGTCTTTTTCTTGTGTATAGTTTTTTTTTTAAGATGCAGTAGGCAATATTTTTACAGTGGTTTATTATGAATGATAGATTTATCTCTTGTTTGTATAATAATGTGTAAACAAGTATATGCATACTATTTCTTTAAAACTTTTTATAACCAGTATTGTAGCCTCACCACTGACAACCATTGGTTAGGAGAAATATGTTGTGTTTTCTTTGAAAGTGGTATTTAGAGATGCAAATGAACATCCATGTTGCTATGGTGGTCATGGTCTATCAGATATACATTAACTTTGATATTTTTAGTAAATTGCAAATTAAAACTGTGATCAGAGTGTTACAGCTTGCCCCATACTTAAGGGAATTGCTAATGTTACAAAATCAGCTGTAAATGAGTTTTTTTGCAAATAACAGCCCTGAGTTAAGTTTACTTGAAATATAATTTACGAATGAATTTATGAATTCGTCGTTGCCAGTTGATATCCAGTCATGTCATGAGCCCACTTCCTGGCTGCCTTGGGACTCAAGTGCGAGCTGGACAGTAGCTCAGGCCTTGCCAAACTGTCCCTTTGGTTCATTTACGTATTTTAACTCTTATTCTATAATTTTCTTACAGATCAACGAAGTGAGGAGCATGTTGCAAGACTAATCACAAGAGGGGAAAGGAGAACCTGCATTATTATGAATGATAATTATTATGTCAAAATGCAGAAACTAAGATAGACTGATCTTTAGGTCATTGTCTACACAACATTTACGTATGTGTGTGTGTGTGTGTGTGTGTGTGTGTGTGTGTGTGTGTGTGTGTGTGTGTGTGTGTGTGTGTGTGTGTGTGTGTGTGTGTGTGCGTGTGCGTGTGCGTGTGTGTGTGTGTGTGTGTGTCTGTCTGTCTGTCTGTCTCTGTCTCTGTCTCTGTGTGTTTGTTTGTTTGCCTCTCTGTCTATCTCTCTGTATCTCTGCGTGTGCCAGCATGAGTACATGTGTGTTTTTATACATTTCTGTATATCTGTGTGTGTGTATGTGTGTATCATCATCATGTTAAATTATCATTATTATAGATTCAATAATATTATTGTTTGTAATTATCAAAGCTCTCCTTGACATTCATATAATGATGTAAATTGTATTATTGGGTTGTCATTGTAAATGTTATATTGATATTGTTATTAATACTGTGAATATTGCCATCAGTAATATTGGTCTATATGTTTTGTATATTACTTTTTTCCTTTTTTTTATTTTTATTTTTTAATCAACAGTTACTAAAAGTGCTTAACAAAATGTACACATTTTTTTGCTGTTTGTAGTAATAATATTTGTAATCAGTTTGTGATATGAAATAAATAAAATGGGATAATATTTTAAGATTTAATTTACCTATCCTAGCATATACTTACTGGTGGATCTAGAAAAATATTTCAGGGGGATATTGTGGTGTGTTCGGGAGGGAGGCCAACGGTAGCGAGCTCATGATGCTTAGAAATAATAATAGTGATGCTAATAATGTTGATGATAATAATCATAATGGTCATGTTACTGTTGTTTATGTTATTGTTATTATCATTATCATTTTTTATTATTATTATTATTATTATTATTATTATTATTATTATCATTACTATCATTATCATGATTATTATTTTTATTATTATTATTGTGATCATTATTATCATTATTGTTATGATTATTATTCATGACTATTTTTTGGGAGGCATGCGCTCAGATGAATTCCTAATATACCGAATACTGTAAGAATTAGGCTACTTTTCCTCTTCCACGTCTCCTTCTCCTTGGACTTTATCAGTTGTATAATTTGGCATTACCTGTGAGAGTTGTCAACTGGCTGATATCTGTCCAAAAATCATATTAGCTCTTGCAAATATTTGATTGGTAAATATGTAATGTACAGTGTAGGGTGACACTGTATATTGTTATGGAAAGGAATGAGGGTGAGTGGTTGGGAGTTATCCTTATCATATCTGATTATTTGTAACAGAGATTCTTTTGATGCAATATAACAAGTACTTGTAAATGTATAACAAATTCTTTCACTTAATCGGTTGCTCCCTCACTCACTCACTCTGTCACTCTCTTTCTCTCATTCACTCACTCTCTCTTTCTCTCTCTCTCTCTCTCTTTCTCTCCATTTCTTTCTTTTTTTCCTCCTCCCCTACCTTGTCTCCTAATCTCTGATGTTTCCCTATACACATGTAAATTTGCATATGTGTAATAAAATACATGTAGTATAGTTTGTCTAGTACATGTATACAAGCATGGTTCTATAGTTGATTTCTATGGATTTTGCCACTGTAGTTGTTGCAAGAAAGGGATTTAGTTAACTTTTCCCATTTTTTCTTTTTTAACCCCCTGTAGTTTTTTGTGAATTTTGTTATATACAGATGGCTCCACATGTACTCAGGCACCAAGGAGTCTATTAGTAGCATTTATTTTTTATTTTTTATTATTATTCTATTTTTTTCAAATGGTCAAATAAGATGCAAAATTATGTCATGGCTGGCCAGTTTGAACCAGTCAAGCATTAAATCTACTTTTCCTGTCATATCTAACCTTGGCTTTTTCAGTACTTTTTCAGAAAATAAAGAATTATTGTAAAGTAACTGTTGTAAGTAAATGAGGGGAATGTTTTCCATCATACTGACCTAACATATATAATTTATAGTATTTTGAAGATACATGACCTATTTGCTAATGGTAAGGTATCATCAAGAGAAGTATAGCAGCTGACTTGCAACTGGTGGTGGTATGTGTAAAGAATGCTCAGTGGAGTGTTAACTGAAGCTGAAATAGTCAGCTGGCACAGGAGTCTTGCATTCCTTGCACTGTGTTGAATTTTTTACTTATAATTCTTTGGATTTATGCTAGATACGTTTCATTTGAATGGAATGGAGGCAAAAATTGTAATATCTTTTCTTGTTATGAAAATAATTTTGGTAACTTTTTTTCTGTCGTTTCCTGGTTAACTCCAAAACATCCCCCTCTCCCCCCCATCCCTTGCTCATTGTTGCTGTGACGGAGCTTAGGGGGCAGAAACATGGTCTGTGGGCCAAACTTGGCTCTCAGGATGGCCCGTGGGATGACAAGAATTATTAGCCCAGGAAATTATGAGCACTATGATGGAAAAAAAAAAGTCAAATACATTTTGCTACCATTAGTGTCAACATTTAAAATCTTATAAACGGAAAAAAATTACGTATAGTACTGTAAGTTTTAATACATTGTCAGCTCTCAAGATGATAGCTGAAATGAAAGGTGCCCCAGGAGGGGTTTTAAGATTGACACTCCTGCCTTATGGTCACCCTGATGGGTTGACCATTTCTTTTCCCTTTTCCCTTTTCTCTCTATGGCCAATAATGAAGATTTTTTATCCTTCTTAGGGGCATTCATCAACTAGTCAATCTAAATTTTACTTCTCATGTTTACTGACCCCTGCCTCTTCCTTGACTACGGCTCTGACCACTGATAGTAAGACACGTCCTCAATATTTACTGTCAACTCTCTCCATTCCAAATCAGCCACCCAAGTCATTACTCAACCTTCTGAATACACTCCTTCCTCTCTCCCAACATCTTCCATCTCCTACTGCACAGTCTTCTTCATTGTCAACCCACTCTACTACTACATTTCATCCCTACTGTCCTCCTTCCCACAGTACTACCTCATTCTACACTACTCCATCTTTCTCCTGCCTTCTTCCTTCTAATACTTCCACCTCTGCAAACCTTTTGAGTACTCTTTGGCCCAGCCAAGTGGGATTGATTCTTTGTAGTTCCCCCTACAGCCCCTTACTCTGACAGTACCCTTCTCTTCCATCTTTGTCTCCAAAAATAAGTAGACAAAGTTTTCTTTTGCAGTTGTACCATTCATTCACATCTTGTCATAGTTACATCTGAGTCCCAACTTCATGCACTATCAACCCTGACTGACCTCACTGGCAAACCTATTCCTGCCTAACCTCACTCTTCCTTCACTGGAACTATTTCTGGCTCCCAGTCTGTGACAAGGACTAGTCAGACTGTGAATGACCTGCTTGCTTGTCTCATTGCACTGGCAGTAAAGTCCTACATTATTCCTCCCAGATGCCAGGCTAAGTCCTACACCAATATTGTTATGATTAGCTTCTGTAGACATAACCTCCATCAAGAAGTTTATATTGGTGGAGTGTCTTGCGCTATCTGACCATATTGACTCCTTCCTTATCAATGTCAGAAATGTTGGTGTTTTGGCCACCCAGTCAAACAATGTGACTCCACAGACCGCTGCTTTTTGTGCCCAACCAGGACATGACCGTTTAAATTGCTCTGCTTGTGCAATTTATAGGAGCTGCCCTGCCTAGGAGCTCAAATCTGAGGTAGTAGTTCTCAGATTCAAACTAGGCCTCTCAATGACAGGAAACAGGTCATTGAGATTTTTCTTGCTCTTTCTTTTCCAAAACTTTTCTTTCGCTCTGCTCCTCTCCCATCTTCTCAAGATGTCTTAGTATCTTCCCCATTATCCTCGTACCCAAAACCATCCTATCTCTACTCCCTTGCTCCCCCAGTCATATTCCTTTTCTAGTCTAAATCCAGATACTCCAATCTCTACCACTTCCCCAATGCCTACCCCTCCTCCTTATTTCGTTTGTTGCGCTAGGCAATCTAAACGTTCCACCCCATCTCCTACCACATCCTCTCCTACAATCACCTATTCCTCTGCTCTTCTGACATCTATCCCCTTGTCTCCTCCTCACAAGAAGCCCTTTGTTTCTCAGACTTCCCCACCGAACTCCCCTTCAGAAAGACATCCAAAACTTCCTAAACACAACCCATGTGCACACTCCGCTCCCTCATCCACCCTACGATCTCCACATTCTTATTCCCTGTGCATTCAGAGTATTTGCCAATATCCTCCTCTTATTCCTCTCCCTCCTCAAGTCCCCCTACTCCTCTTCCTTCTACTCTCTCCCAACACACCCCATTCTCTCCTTCCCCATGTACACCATACCCTCTTCTTTCCCCATTATCCCTACTTCCCCTGCCTGGATGATTCCCTTATGTCTTTCCCCTCCTGACATTTTTCTTAATACTTCACCACCTTCCCCTGTTCCCTCATCTCATTACCTGGATTCTTCTCCTACTTCTCCAACTACCATTATTACCTATATTGCCTGCTGATTGTTTCATAATGGCTCTTTTGCAGTTTTCCATGTTACTCCCCCTTCCTCAGACACATAAGATACTCTCCATCTGATTTGATCTAATTGCCCTCTGCCCTTAACCCCTTCCCCTTCTACAAAGCTCAGCCGTACTCCATTTCCATTCTCCTCTTTACCCTTTTCATTATCATACTATCTTGTAGCATTCTACAAGCTTTGATATCTAACAGATTTAATCTTAATTGTTAACTGATTTTTACCCTTTTTGCCACAGTACTTTACAATAGTGTTATATGACCTGTGATGTCTAGTACATTTATTTGTTTTAACAATTAACCATTTACCAGTACCAACAAAACACTGTTACTATGTCAAGTTTCATATTTTTCATCAAATAAAGACTAAAATGCACTGCAGTTTTGCCAGAGAATATTGAGGCTTCTTTCTTTTCTCATAATTCTGTTTAGTAAAATACTGTATCCACTTCAACTATGTGCTGTCCTATATTACAGTCATGCTGTTATATAAACAATTCCTCACTGCACTACACTGAAGGATGGTGATGAAAGTCAGTGATTAATACCATTACCTTTGTTATTTCAAAATTACTTAAAAGACAAAAGATCACTCATATATAGTACAAAGGCAGATATGGCAAGTAAACATTTGACAATTAAAGAACAGTAATGATAACATGAGTTTAGGACAAGTTATAATTAAAGATTTGGCTGCTGTATGAATGAAAATATTATTTAAAAAAACATAAATCACTAATTATATAGAACAAATGCTATATAAACGACTACTTATATAATTTTGGGGTGTGCAACATAGAATGTGCTGATTTATCTACTGGAGCCTACAAGAAGCTATTTTTAAAATAAAAAATATATCTTATATGTTTTAAAATCTAATAATGTGTCTGTACCTTCATTTACCCTTCTCAAGAGTCATTTTGCTGACATTTACAATATATTAGACAGATGTTGCTATGTGACTTCACAAGACTTACTAACAATATCATTAAAATATTCCGGAGCTTATATTAATGCTAAATACAATAAGCCAATACCATTTTGGAAGTAAATATAACCTTGAAGAATGGATCTATCTGTAATAAGTGAAAAGCAAACCTACAAGATTACATAATTTTGAATTATTGTGACAATTTGCGTGATTTTTTTTCCATTTCATTTTCTTGACCGGGATACAG